GTGTTAGCTTCTATAATGCTTGGGTACCTCCAGAGATGAAATTCTAAGCAGTGTAGTAAAAATTTCTTCCTACTACTTCTCTGTAGGAATGACTGCTGAAGTAAAATATGGTATTCTATTAGCTTGTTATCATTTCATTTCTACTGATACTTCTATAAAGCGGATCTTCGCCCTCTCTAAGTACTCCTCTCCTCTTCACCCATCCTTCAGGGGTTAACATGTGGGGTGATCAAAGGGTTAACTGTGTGCTGTTTTACTAGAGGGCTGTGTGTTAGTGCTTCACTGTAAGCACACTGCTTTGCATAGCTGTGCTGTGCACAGCTATGCAAAGCAATGTGCATGAGCTGACAGGGAGGAGAACTGTTCTCCCCCCCGTCGGAGAGGCTCAGCATTCACCGGCAAGTATTTACCAGTCGGGACCAGGTGTTTAACTGCCATGGCTGAGAATGGTGGCACGGGTAGGGCATGCATGTGCCCCCTGCATGGAAATGCAAAGTCACGTATATATACATGATTTTGCGCACCCGTGCCGCCCTATAGCAGTATATCTGCTATAGGGCGGACGGGAAGCAGTTAATAGAAAAAACATCTAAGTACCTTTTTCTTAATAGATATACAGCTGTCACATAACCCAGCTCCTTCCCAGCCTGTCTGCAGGGAAACAGTGACAGGAGGAGCATCTAGTCCTCTGCTGCTGATCACATGTTCAAAATAAAACAAAATAGCCTTTGGGGTACAAAGTAAAAATAAATAGTTAATATCAATAAACATTTTTACATTGTCATAGAAATATATATTTGAAATCAAATCTTTATTATTTTGTGGAAATAACATGGTGAGGGTGGATTTCTGCCAGTCGCAGGCTGTGTTATGCCCCTCCTAGCCTGCGTATTAGAATAACAGGGAGGTGAAGCCTCCATCAATCAAGATGTAATACACACACCTCCACACACTGTATTTAGCTGGTTATTGGGCATGGAGGCGGAAGGGAGGGGCTGTCATTTACCACTGTGTATATGGCCACATGTGTAACTCTATAATCACATGGGCTGCTCATATGTGATAGGGAAGAAATGCTCAGCATAGAAACTCACTGAAAACTGAGCATGTGCACAGTTGCCTCTAGAGCTGCAAAATCCCCAAATGAATTGGGGACACGAACAGAAGGTGGAGATGGAGAGCAGAAGGATCAACCAGTTTTTTTTTTTGCGGAATACAGAAAACAAATCTCATAGTGACTGAGTGAGTATGAACAACATGTAATATCACATTTATTTTTAGTTTTTTATGATGTGGGTTTAGTGACACTTTAACTTTTTTTTTTTTTAATAAAGATGTACACTGTGCTGCCTATGCCTTCTGAGATATGCATGTCACATATCCCAGGAGGCATAACCCTTCATTTACAAAAGAGGAGGTAAGAGTGCCCAGCACTGCATCATTAGGGGGGGCGTGCCATCAGAACCTAGAAAAATCGTTGGGTCTCTCAATGACATCATAAACAAAATGTCAGCACTGGTCCGAGTAGTGGCAGAAGATGAGAAGATCTAAGCGGGAAAACACTGGATCCTCTTGGTGGGTGAGTATCTGAAAAGTATTCAACACACCACTCGGTAAGCTGGGGAAGAGAAAAAAAAGAATCATGGAGAGGAACAGGTGAAGATCCTCTTAACATTCTATAAAAGTTCACATGCTAATCACTTTTTTACGAAAAGATCTACTTCTTTTTTTGAGTTCTTGGGGCTGTCAATCTACACTGCTAAGGCCTCATGCACACTGGGAGTCAAAAACTCCACTTATAAGGGACTTTGACTTTTTTCACTTGCTCATTCAGGAGAGGAGCATTTTGGCTGGAAAAAACACCCAACGCACCTAAATGTGCCTAAACATGTCAAAACATGCCTAAACACTATGCTCGTCTAGTGCTTGACCGTTCCTTTATTTCAATGGCCAGAATAAATTATTATTACGGCCAATAAAATGAATGAATGTTCAAAAGCTTGACCTGCCTAAACACATTTGCAAAACGTGGCTTTAGGCACAATTTTTACTCCGCTCTTCTCCTGCTAGGAGAAAAGATGTTCAGAAGAGCTGGGTAAATGTGAATGAGGCCTAAGACAAATAAACACATGCTCTTTACTGCACAGTGGACTCTATGATCCTGATAATTGCTCCTAGACACTTCATAGTTTGCCTCAACAGCCTCCCTAATGGGGCCCCCTTCCCGAACCCAAGTAACAGAACAGCCATGTGGGCTGCTATGGCTGTAAGCACACTACTTGCAATAATAACCATTCACCATTTTGCTGAACAATAGTGTTTTCTTAAAGTCTGTGCTCCCACTAATGAGGCTTGCCATTGTAACCTGAAAAAAGGCTAAGGCAAGCCATAGATGATGAGATTTTCTTTTCTGCAATCATGGGTTGCAGGAAAGAAAATAGCTAATTTCCTTCCCTCAGCATTTTTGTGTTCTGCTGGAGGGGAATTGTAACTGCAGAACACAATGATTAATTATTACTATAGCCACCGGCTGTAATAGCATGCAAAAAATATGACAGACTGGTTGTACAAACATTGATCGATGGATCAACTTTAGTACAACCAACCTGCCCATAGATGGATCGAATCTCAGCTGGTCTGGATGAACCGGCCGAGATTCGATCTATCTCTGTGCGGCTTTAGATGCAATACTGGAATACACCTTATTAAAGTGGATGTTTTTTTTTTTTGTTCCATTTGATCCATTTCCTATTCCATGACCGCTAAATTTGACATGTGTGACTTTGGTTATGCAAATATACCTGGATGCAGTTGCTTGAAAAAGGCACCAAATACCGACCAAAATAATGAAAACGGGGCAACACCCCGAGGAACAGAAACAAAACAACAAAGTAAAAAAAAAAAAAAAGAAAGAAAAAACATTCAATGGCAAATATTAGGAAGAAGAAATGTTCTATATTATCTTGATCCTTCTGTTATTTATACCTATTATCGTGTATGTATGAATTTGAGTTACGGACCTCCAACTGTACACTCCTGGAGGGTTAGAGACTGATGTGAATTAACAATATACCAGGGGCGGACTGACCATTTGGAAACTCGGGCACTGCCCTAGTACCTTTTTCATAGGCTTTTTTGAGTTTGGGCAAGGACACAGGGGCCCCATGATCCCCTATTGCCTGGGGGCCCCATGAGTTGTCAGTTCACCCCTGCAATATACTGTATATTATTTATTTATTTCCGGTACTTATATAGCGCCTTCAATTTACACAGCACTTTACATATATATATTGTACATTCACATCAGTCTGTAACCCTCAAGGGGCATACAATCTAAAGTCCCTAACTCACATTTATACATACACATACTAGGGCCAATTTAGACAGGAACCAATTCACCTACCAGCATGTCTTTGGAGCAGGGGCGGACTGACCATTTGAGCACTCAGGCACTGCTTGAGGGCCCAGGGTCAGTAGGGGGCCCCATGAGATGCCCCTGGTACCTTTTTGATAGGCTTTTTTGAGTTTGGGCAAGGACACAGAGGCCCCATGATCCCCTATTGCCCGGGGGGCCCCATGAGTTGTCAGTCCGCCCCGCTTTGGAGTGTGGGAGGAAACCCACGCAGGCACAGGGAGAACAGGCAAACTCCAGGCAGGTAGTGCCGTGGTTGGGATTCGAACCTACGACCCTAATGCTGCCAGGCGGAAGTGCTAACCATTTAGCCACTGTTCTGCCCATATATGTATATGTAAATGACTGCGTAAATTGACAGCGCTATATACAGTAAGTACCTGTGATAAACAAATATATAATTCAAGGTGTATATGGTGAGCAGTTACGATGTAGTTACCAAATACAAAATTCGATTTAATATGTCAACAGTTTAGAGAAAAAGGAATTTGGCTTTTAATTGTTCGCTAGTGGCTACTTTACACTAGTAACTGCTTTTTGCAATAGGTAGTGGATCGCCTTTTCTCATTTCCACTGATATTTACCTTCATCATGTGATATATCCCTTGCTTTTTCAATCACCCTCTGGAGTTCTTAAAAATACTCAGTACTTACAGGGATAGAGGCACATGTGACCATTTTCCCTTTCCTTCAGTAATGCATTGTTCAGCATATAAGCAGTCAATCACAGCCCTGAGTACAGTCAAACAGGATGGAGAAACTCCTTAGTCCTGTGCAAGCAATAACACAGACCACATGGATTGTAGCTCAGCACTCAGGTAAGTGAACAGGGAGAAAGGGAAAGGTGTGTATAACTTTAACGCTGAATTCCAGGAAAGGCAAATATCATCAAAATACAAGATACATGTGTATTCTTACTTGTATTTTGGTGTGCTTTCCGTATTTCTTCCAGATCTGAGCAGAAATTCAGCGTAAAACTTGTCCAGGAGATTTATATAACAAAGACCAGTCACTGCTGCACTCTCTCCTTGTGCAGGGTAACTGGTCCTGTCTCCTCCCCCTCCTGTAGTTTTCTGTAGGCAGCTTGTAGTGGCTGGGGTCTGCTGGACCCCTCCTACAGCTTTGCTCTCTGCACAGACTATGTGCAGCACTGTGATGATGTCACTGCTACTTTTACAAGGTAATATCCGTATTTGTAAAGGCATTTGGTACACACAAAAGTGCATGTATATCATTTATGGCTACTGAGCAATATGTTTAAGTGAAGGTTTTGTGCCTGGAGTATCCTCCTTGCATTCCCAGCCCAATCCATACAACCACTAAAACTAAGCACAGTATAACAGACAAACCAAAATTATAGAAAAAGAGCAAGCACAATACATAAAAATATCATTTTTATATTTTTAATAAAAAGCTGTTACAGTTTCATCTTCAGTGAAAATACAAAGTTGTCAATTTGGTAGTGTACACAGATCAGAAATACATGCAATGGTTTTGGGTATAAAAATGGTTGTTAAGATGCGGCATGTTCAGTTCATGCAAGGGGAATAACGCTTCTGTGGATGATGGGCAGAATACAATTTCCAGTCTATGCCTTCTCATACTGACGAACAGAGACAATATCACCAAAAGTAAGAGTCTGCGGAAAGAATTTCAAAAAGGACATATTTATTTATATTCTTATACATTTTTTTATATAAACAGGTATTCACCATATCAGCGTTTCTCAACCTTTTTTTTTTCTTACAGTGGAAGAAATCTTGCAATAGTTTTCTGGTCTTAGGTAACCCCCCAATAAGGAAAGATGATTATACCTACAGCTCATGGCATATTAGCATGATCAGTAGTTTCTTAGACAGTTTTAAGTAAAGAAAGGGGTGTATTTAAACCCCCATATTCTTTAAAACAAAATTGTTTCCAGTAATCACAACAAAATTAAACATGTAATAAAAATAATGTTCTGAAAAGAAACAGAAAGTAAGTCTGTTTTTCAAAAGAACAAGTTCTCCAGCAGAAAGTATCCGTAACAGGGATGAGACAAACTATTTAACACTAAAGTGGTATTAAAACCAAAAGCAAATGTATTATATTTTAGCTTACCAATTCTTAGATGTGATGGCTGTATTAGTTTTTTCTTTTTTAGGCTTTCTTTCTTCTATTGTCATCTAGTGACCCAGCCAGTAAATCAAAAGCACAAGCTCTCTAGCAGTGTGTATCAGTTACAGGGATGAGACAAACCATCTAACTCTAGCAGGGGTGCTTGCGATGATCAGCTTTTATTTATCTAAACTTTTTATCCCAAAAGCAAAAACTGTTTGCTGTAATTGATTATAAAATCTTAGCTCGAGTTTGGCTTCAATTTGTTAGTGTATCTAAATCTACTAGTCAGGGCTTTTTTTTCAGCAGGAATCCAGGGGAATGCAGTTCCAGCACCTCCAGCATTAAATGTATGTAATGGGAAGGGGTGGTGGGGTGTACTGCAGGGTCCATTGATGCTGGCTGCTGTGGGATCTAATGTCACTGGAGGGGATCTATTTTTGCAGTGAGGGGTGTTTATTGATGCTAGGGAGGTCTATTGTTGATAGTGGGGGATCTATTGTTGCTGGGGTGTCTTATGTTGCTGTGGGGTCAACTATTGCTAGGAGAGATTTACTGTTGAGGGAGGGGGCCATCATTGCTACCTGCTGGAGGGTCTATTGATGCTGGCTGTGGGGAGACCTGTTGATACTGCCAGGGGACTATTGCTGCTGGGAGAGTATTTTATTGCAGGTAGTCCATTTCTGCTGGGGGGAGGAGAACTATTTTTGCTGGCTGCGGGGGATTATTTTACTGCTTTTCTTTTTATTACAAATTCCATACAAATCAATACTTGGTTCTGTATTCTCTGAAAGGGCGGTACTGGGAGGTAGGTAAGGGGTGGAACACAGGGACAAAGCTGGACAGAGGCCTGGAATGGGGAAGTTCCTGCACCTATTCTTTGAGAAAAAAAAGCCCCCTTCCCCAGACTGACAATGCTGCTGTCCAAATGTGTCCCCTGTACTGTGCCTCCTGTACTCCTTAATCCAGAGCAGTGACACTTTAATACAGGAGGCAGGGGAGGACTGACCATTTGAGCACTCAGGCACTGCCCAAGGGCCCGGGCTCAGTAGGGGGCCCCATGAGATGCCCCTGGTACCTTTCATTGGCTTTTTCATAGGCTTTTTTGGGTTTGGGCAAGGGCACAGGGGTGCCATGAGTTGTCAGTCCGCCCCTGACAGGAGGTGTGTTACTGGCCAGGTCACCAGGTGAAAACAGAGAGGAAAAAAGACTAACAAAGGAAAACTAATGCAGCCACCACATTTAATGATTAGTAAGCTGCAATATGTTACGTTTTTAGTTATCGGTATAATATTGCTTTGAATTGGTGGTCATTGTAAGCAAGGGATCAGTCAGCCTCACGGAACACTGCAGCAACCTCTGGAGAAACAGCAGGGTTCCGAAGAACTCTGTTTGAGGAAGGCTGCTGTGTATTATTATGCACAATTAATCCTTCAGGAAAGCATGCTTCTATCTGATTTAATGCAAGGCTTCTTTTCTTTACTGTATATAGTTACTTCTTTTCATTAAGGTACATAACAGAAATAATAATCTTTTGGACTCACCATACTTATATACAACCCTGTAAACCTATATAACATCAGAACCTACCTTAACTATCCAATCAATTTGTATCCAATCAGACAGGCCCTTGTACTACATACTTGTTAGTAGGTCTAAAGGAGTTTGTATAATCAGATTGTAATGTGTGTGATGAGCTTTAGAAGCCTAAGAAGAACGGCAGAGCAAACAAATTCCTTCTTTACAGCTGTCTTATGTTAAATACATTGAAATCAATGTATCCCAAAGGATACAAGGAGTTTAATTTTATGCTTCTAAACAAGTAAAATCTGTGGCTCAGCAGATACAGAAAACCCCAAGCAAGCTTAGGTGAGGAGTAACTAGTCATTCAGCACTATCCAAAGCTTCTAAAATTAAACTCTGTAATAATCTATACACTTCTGTGGTTACCTGAAGTTCTACATGAAGCAAAGTGTCATACAACTTAAGACATCTCTTCAGCTGCTAAATAATTGGATTTTGGTTTAATCTAAGAAGAACTGGCGGTGGTAATGTATAGATCACATCAGTATATCTTATTTCAACACAGATGGCTTTGACATAATTACTGAGCTAGTGATTAACTCATTTAGGTTTAAGTAAGGAGATTTACTCTAAAGTCTAGGAATCACCAGACCCTCTGCAATTCAAAAGTCTGTATGTATCCAATCAACTTCATAAAGGCTAAGCTTCTAAAGAGATAGATTTAAATTATTGGCCTAATCAGATTTTTGGTCTAAGTGGGAAATGCTCTTTTCAGGATTTCCATGGGATCCCAGACATCTTGAAATCACTGATGAAAAATCCACTGGATTGACATTGGACTGATTAACCCACTTTTCTACTCACACTATGTTAAAATCGTTTTTTATAATCTTAACAATTAATTAATTGTAAAATATGTTTTGCAGAAAAAGGAAACTTGAGAAATGCTTGGTTAATATGACAATATTTTAATTGAACATTTATATATATATATATATATATATATATATATACCGGTATATATATATATATATATATATATATTATTCTAAATAGAATATATATATATATATATATATTTTTTCTAAATAGAATATATATATATATATATATATATATATGTCACACCAGTTTGTTAAAGAATTTTCCCAAAATTAACATGAAACCACATTTTCTACCCCTTATAGGTGGTTAGCTTGGGGGGCTCCCGGCACCTATATACCCATACCAATACCCATCCATGGAATTTTTCCATATTACTTCCATATTACTTCTTAATAGGCTGACAAAAGACAACTCACCAAAGGCAAAAATAAAATAGGTTGCCCACATTGAATGTTGCTGGGGTGCTTCAAAGAACCAGAGAGAACAACTCTGCAGCCTTCTCTTGTATGTTGATTTATTTCATCCATTTTTTCTTCTAACCAGTCATTAGAAAAATATGATAAAATACTATTGGCATGAAATGGTAGATTATGTAACATAGGTTGTTCTCTCTGATCTCCCTGAGCATGCCAGGAATCCTCCAAAATGTATATGCAAATAATGACGTCCTGTAGGTTAGAGTAAAAGAATGCTTCACCATTTGCAACAGCACAATGTATAGGAAGGCTCAGCAACCTATTGGAAGGCTTGGGAATAGTCACATAGGATACGGGCCAAAGCATGCTTATTTTCTATGTGTTTCAGAAAGTCTGTATTTGCATACTTACAGTGGGAAAATTCACATGGCACACTGAAAGTTGGCATATGACCTTGGATATCCAGGTCTTATCAAATTTTTTTTCCAAATGATGACTTTTTATTAAAGAGGACCTAATCAGATTTCAGAGGCATTACCAGCTTCTGTTATTTTATTTACTCACCATAACCATTTTGCCATCCTTTATTTCTCTTACAAATTTTGTTTCTTTGCCATCCCACTTCTGTACATGGACTAATTTATCTCCTTCCAGTGTTACAGTAGACTGTTAAGAAGAGATAACAGTTACCAAAATGTAGGAACAATCTAAAGTTTAGTTTACAGTAGGCTGTAATTAAGAGATAATAGTGATGATTTCCTAAAGGAATAGAGGCTGTTAAAGTGGTTCTAAAGGCAAAAAGGTAAAAAATATGTTATACTGCCTTCACCCCACCTCTAAACGCTTACCTGACACCACTCTCAATCCACTGCTGTCCCTGTGCATAGACCCGCTCTCCCTTTTTCCTGTATTCTTGGGCTTTACTGAAAGCCATTGGCTCCTGCTGCTGTCAGTCAAATCCTGTGAGAAGGGAGCCGGGGCCGAGCTGTGCTGCGTGTGTCCATGGATGCACACAATCCAGGTCAGATTTCAGCCTGCACATGTGCCTCCATAGTAAGTGGCTTGCTATGGTGGCACATGCAGAAAAGGAGGAGCCAAGATCACCAGCAGGAAATCCCAGAAGAAGAGGTTCAGGGACGCCCTGTGCAACGGCATTGCACAGAGCAAGTAAGTATAACATTTGCAGTTACTTTATTGTTCACTTTGAATGGAAATGTTCAACTACATTAGTGAGGTGAAGCTGGGCTCACTTCAATCATCTAATCACATGAACGTAAAAAATCCATATTTTTTTTAATTTCCCTAGCACATATCTTGGTATTGAAAGTAAACACAGCTTTACCATATTTACTAAGCCAAGTGAACATACACTTTGCTACAGAGGCTCAATTCCTTTAGTAAATTTACCCTGTTAACAATGATTAGCTCTCAGCAAATGTATTAATAGTCTACAGAAATGATTTAGATTGTACAGATAAGTTAGAACAAATTATATGACCAGGAATAATACAGATACACATTGGGGGAGAGTACAAAATCTGGTGCAGCTTTGCATAGAAACCTATCAGCTTCCACGTTTTATTGTCAGAGCCTAATTGAGAAAACTAAGTTAGAAGCTGATTGGCTACCATGCACAGCTGCACCAGGTTCTGAGCACTCCAGTTTTAGTAAATCTCCCCCATTGCCCATCTGAGGCAGAACAATTATCTGCAAACAGTTTTCCATACAGCCCAGTTAATTTTACTCTCAAGTTTGGTAAATAATCCCTACCCACTATTGTATGATTTCTATTGATTAGATAATTAGCATTCTCAAATAAAATAATATAACAGTGGAACTAGACTGACAGCTAAAACAATCCTTTCTACTAAATGGACAGCAGTTATCAAATGAAACCAATAGTTTGAATCAATCTACATTTTGTAACAGGAGCTGAAAACATTTAATATACATTCTCACTTCTACATGGTGCATTCTGATATAAATTATGTTTTGTAAAACTTTGTAAAATCCCAACAGTATGTTTTATCAAATTCAAATTTCCAAATGCTTAACTGATGACATTTAAATGCTAATTCAGTTCCCTAGGAATAACTTGACAACAGTTTATAAAGTAAAAAAAAAATACATACTGTATATTTTAGACGTGTGTTTCTTGGTCATGCAGTAATAAAAGCAACCTGACTAGATCTATAGTCAAATATGCACAGCAAAGTAGCTTGGAAAAAACATAGTAAAGCACCTAAAATGCATATACTTTCAACTGGCTATTTATTTAAAATACAATAGGAAAAGACAGTCATATCTACTTTTGCTTTCAAGCTTCAACACACATAAAGGAAGCTACTTTGTGTCCCCCATCCCCTTCTCAAATTTATCTGGTATAAGATCCTCCATTCTCTGTGCTGCTCTCACCTTTACAGTTCCTGTCATCAGCTGTGGCTTCATCAAATTCTTCCCCCAGCTTGAAGCTGATCTCTGTGTTCTTGAATGTACTCTGGGTCCTGATCACCACTTTGTCACCTTCTTGGCTAATGATGACGGTGGGTTTGGTCACGTTGCCAACCTGTCTGGTAGCAAAGCCAACTCCTGCAGAGAACAGAAAGGTAAGCAGTCAGACTTGTGGAAATAATTGTATAGATGCAATCTAGGAAGCAAATGTTTAGCCATTTACATATTTAGGTAAAAGTTCTCCTGCAGTTAAATTATTCGCCTGCATATCAACAGAAGTATCTACTATCTGCCAACTAAGTTCATGAGTGCAGTCTGCAGGTGGTTAATAGAAGGCAAGTTACAAAAGGCTGGCTTGATGCTCACTGCACGTAGTCTCCATTATCTAGAGCAGATGCTGTACAAATCTGCAGATTAGAGGAAGAACACATACCTAGGGCTTTCATGTACTCATCAAAGTTCTGGCTGTCAACCAGCTTCCAGGTGGCACAGAAAGTATCTACCATTTTAGCAGCGAGTATGTAATAGAGAGCACAGTGTAAGGTTTAAATGGCTTTTTTTCCTTGCCTAGGAGATGCTCTGTCTTACTTTACATGGCAGCCCTACTTATTGGGAGACTTGAAACTGGTGATGGAGGCTGGACCTTTGTTAGAAGAAAGGGGTCCAACCCTACCCATCTTCAAAGACCAATAGCCTGGCAAGAGGCGTGGCATGGATAATACTCCAAGCTCACACAAAGGGTCAGGAAATTAAATGCTTGGCTCGCAGCCCTTGAACTCATTTCAAAAGAGGTCATTTTAGGGGAGAAAAGTTACATTTTATCTTTTTACATACATACGTACCTAAAAAAAAAGTCAGCACAAGGTGTAATAAGTATTTTGCCTCATTTTATAAAAACTTTGTATTTGAATGCAGGGTGCATGTTACCTTTACAATTCAAACTGAAAGCAGAACAGAAAAGTTTAGAATTAAGTTAAGCACAAGATTGCAAAACACATATGTGATCATACTTATACAAATTAAAGGGATTGAATACACTCATTTACATCTTATAATACATTTGACCATCCTCTTGATTAGGGGATAAATAATAAATAAAAAAAAAATTGTAATGAGTGTGTTAAACAGTAATTTTTTGATATTCAAATGTAAGTGCAGTGCTAAAGCGTAAGTGACAAATGCAATCATAAAGTGCTTATGTGAATAGAAGTGTTCATACAATATTCCAGTGAAAACATCTCAGATCACATAGAATCATAAGGGCAGCACAGTGGCTAAATGGTTAGCACTTCTGCCTGGCAGTACTAAGGTCATTGGTTTGATTCCCAACCACGGCACCACCTGCCTGGAGTTTGCATGTTCTCCCTGTGCCTGCGTGGGTTTCCTCCCACACTCCAAAGACATGCTGGTAGGTTAATTGGATCCTGTCTAAATTGGCCCTGGTATGTGTATGTATGAATGTGAGTTAGGGACCTTAGATTGTACGCCCCTTGAGGGTTAGGGACTGGTGTGAATGTACAATATATATATATGTAAAGCGCTGCGTAAAAAGACGGCGCTATATAAAGTACCTGAAATAAATAATAATACAACAACTCTAAAATTCTGAATATAAATAGTGGATAGTCTGTGGCACTGCAGGTCACAGAGGTGTCATGTGATATATGTGTGCTTATTTAGCAATAATGGTGATTATACCTAGTCCGTGGCACTACAGGTCACAGCAATGCCCGGTGTTCGTGGAACTACAAGGTGCAGCAATGCCAGCTAGGATGCCAAAGAGTGCTCATGATCCAAAACAGGAATCTACCACCTTATATGAGTGTGCACACACAAGAACGCTACTTGTGTAATATCATTAAAGCTGATCCTTATGGGGGGTCTCAGGAAGACATAAATAGGGACTGGACTTCTTCAGGGTCAGGGCTATGCAAAACCAGCAAAGGATCCTCCTAAGGGGAGAAGCCCACCACACAGGAGCCAAAGGTATGGCAATATAGTGTAGTATGTATTATAAATAATTAAAAGCAATCCATGTGGATACAGCAAAAAATTAAATTCATAAAAGCATACCAAAATGGCCGCCGCTCTGAGCTCTGTCCGCGGCGGCGTGACGTCAGCACGTAAGGCTCAAACCAACGCGTTTCGTGCACATGCACGTCTTCAAGGGCACGCTTGCTACTCATTTTTTTGAATATAGTGTATTTAACATTCTGTGCAGACTAATGATTTACCATATGCACATTCTGTATATTTGGCTGCTGATAATAAGTAGATTGATATTGTGTATAGCCTATTGCAAATTAGACTAGCACCTGCATGAATACCTGTCATTATTGCCACTTCTGCAGAGTACACAATTATACTGTTTCTAACAATCACACTTACATTAACCACTTCCCGTCTGGCCCATGTACATAAACTGGTGGACGGGAGCAGTGCCAAATCGGGTGGCCGTTTATAAACGGCCCCCGCATGCACTGCCTGTGCGTGCTCCCTGGGAGCGCGCAGCACCACAACCTGGTGCCCGCTGTACAGGACCTCTATGTGAGGTCCCAATTCATGTGATCACTGATTGGCCAATCAGTGATCACATGAATAGTAGTAAACAAGATGTCACTTCCCGACATCATTGCTTACTCAGTGTGAAATCTGTGAATGATCACAGAGGTCACATGGTACAAGGCTATTCACAACAGCCTTGTACCACGTGACAAGCTGTGACCAATCACAGCTCTCACAGTATTTCTCAATGACTGCAAGAATGCAGCCCGAGAGAAGGAGAAATTATTGATTTTGTAGCCTTTATGAGTGTAAAAGCAATCTGTGTAAAAAAAGAAAAAAAATCTTCATCAACTCCCACAAGTAGTACAGTGTTACCAGGGTGACACTGTACTGCTAGGGTGACGGTACGTTAAAAAATAACAAAAAAAAACCATAAATAATAGTATAAAAAAATAAAATAAAAATGTAAAAAACAAACATTTTTTTAATTATAATTTTTGGTTATAAACTAATTTGGTTAATTTTTTTTTTACTAAAAAGATAGCTGAATACATTTTGGCCAAGATTTATGAAAAAAGATTATTTGCAAAATTTTATAAAAAAAAAACACTATTTTTTTCTAAATATTTGGACTTTTCACAACACAACCAATGTGTTCCGGTTGCAGAAAAAAAAAGTAGAACAGGCTCTCATTTTTCCTGCACAGAACTGTACTGGAACGCGGTAAAATACATAAAAAACACACCGGAACGCACTGGAACGTACCAAAACGTACAAAGAATGCACTGGAAAGTACATGGTCCTATTTAAATTGAAGAAAAAGATGGGAAAAAATGAACCGGAAAGCATAAAAAACGCACCAGGACGTGCCAAAAACGTTTAAAAAATGCGTCAAAAACGTGTATGCAGAAACGCATCTGGAATGCATCTGGGCTGCTTTTCTATAGTGTGAGCCGGCCCTAAAAGCTATATTACCTGCTATATAAACTTTTAAATATACAGTATTAAAATCATATGTTTGGATACTGATATAGAATTTAAGCACTGGTTCACAATGAATGTGACTTTGAAATTATTTATTATTATTATACAGTATTTATATAGCACTAAAAGGTTTGCTCAGCGCTGTACATTATAGTGGGGGACAGTACATGAGACAATACAGTAACAAACAATACATGAGAGGTTCAAGGGCCCTGCTCTTTCCAGCTTACAATCTAGAAATGGTACTAGTTCACTTGAAGTAGCGCGATTTCAAAGCTGCAGGTCAGTGCGGTTTCAGATGCGACTTGCCTGACATTTGTGCTACTTTATTCAGAGATGTCTATGCAAGTCGCACCTGAAATCACCGAAAATCACGCAGGAACCATTTTCAAAATCAGTGCGAAAACACACCATTGCCGGCAATAGGGTGCGACCTGTCATGCGATTTGAAGCTGTCAAATAGCAAGACAAATCGCACCGGTGTGAACCAAGGCTAATGCTAAACTCCAGGCATATATAAAAGACCCAAATTCATGCAGCTCTTTAACCACTAGCTTACAGGGCACTTATACCCCCTTCCTGCCCAGGCCAATTTCCAGCTTTCAGCGCTGTCACACTTTAATTGACAATTGCGCGGTCATGCAACACTGTACCCATATGAAATTTTTATCATTTTTTTTTGTGACAGATAGAGCTTTATTTTGGTGGTATTTAGTCACCTCTGGGTTTTTTATTTTTTCTTAAACAAACCAAAAAACCACTTAAAATTTTGAAAAAAAAAAAGTTTTTCATAGTTTTTGTTAGTTAGTTTTTGTGATTTTTCTCCTTCACTGATGTGCGCTAATGAGGTTGCAGTGATGGGCACTGATAGGCTGCACTGATGGACACTGAATGGTGGCACTGATGGGCACTGATGAGGAGGCACTGGTAGGTGGCACTGATGGGCATTGACAGGCATGACTGATGGGCACTGAAAGGCAGCACTCATATATGACACTGATAGGCGGCACTGACTGGCATTGATAGGTGGCACTGATAGGCGGCACTGATGGGCACTGAAAGGCGGCACGGATGCACACTGATAGGCGGCACTGACTGGCACTGATAGGTGACACTGACTGGCACTGATAGGTGGCGCTGATTGGCAGCACTGATAGGTGGCACTGACTGGCATTGATAGGTGGCATTGACTGGCACTGATGGGCGACACTGAAAGGCAGCCCAGATGGGCACTGACATGTGGCATTGATGTGCACTGGTAGGCACTGATATGTGGCATTGATGTGCACTGGTAAGCACTGAAATGTGGCATTGATGTGGCACTGATGGGCACTGGCAGGTGGCATGGATGAGCACTGACAGCTGGTACTGATGGACACTGACAGGTGGCACTGCTGGAGCTGGCCTGATGATCAGTGCACATGTCCCCTCCGAGGAATGCCAATTACCAGCTCTCCTCTCCTCTCGAGCTGTCAGCGTGACAGCTCGTGAGGAGAGAAATGACGATAAACGGCATTTCCCTATTTACATGCGATCAGCTGTGATTGGACACAGCTGATCACATGACTGAGCCGACATCTTCAGCTCTTTCCTTTGACCGGTGATCCTCTGTGTCCGAGGGACACAGTGCATCGCCGATCACCATGCTGCGCACTCCCAGAGCCGCACATTCGCGGTTAGAATGGGACAACATCATATGATGTCCTCCCAGAACGAGAGAACCGCCTTGCGCCCATCATTGTACTATATGGCTGGCGGGAGGCGGTTAATCATTAACTAAAGCCCGACTCTACCCACCCCATAGGTACAATACCCCATAGGTCTAATAAGGAGTAATACTTACCTTTATCCTTTGTGGCCGGTCCCTGCAGCATCCTCTCAAAAGCACTCCAGGTCAGATTTGCACTTTTGCCTCCTCTACATACAATGCAGGACCAATAGTCTTCCAATGTGCTTGACGCCAAGGGTCCACCCACAGCCTGGGGCTTCAGGGAGAGACGGAGAGCATAGGAGCTTGCAAGAGCCAGAGGTAAGGTAAGTAATACAGCCCCTTCCTCTACCCCTAGAATTAACAAAATTTTAACCATTGCAAGGTTGGGGGGCAAGGGATTTTTTTTAGCCCAAAGTTGTCATTTAAATTAAGTCATTGGACACAGCAGATCACGTGGTAAAATGCCGCTGTGATTGGCCTTTTACCTCATCACGTGATCACCTGTGTATGTAGGACACAGCGATCACGGATATCGCTGGGTGCGCACCACTGCGTGGGAGGAGCGCGCATTCTAGGAAGACGTTATAAGATGTCCTACCAGAACTGGACAACTGTGCTGTAGCAGTCATTCAGCTATAGCGTGGTTAGCAAGTGGTTAAAGTAGCGTTACATCCCCCATCTGCGCTGGCACCTTTTTCTGTGCACAGGTTTATAGCCATCTTCATTGGCCAGCAAGGGATGATGTCACTGAGGCCATCATTCCAGCACACAGGGATTGAGCTGGCCACTGTACACTGAGCTGCACATGTGCAGCTCAGTTTACTTGCCAGGAGATGCTCTGAACAGGCAAGCAAGTGTATTTTATTGCAGAACAGACATTGCATGTCTGTTCTGCAATAAAAAACCTGCTTGCTCGCAGTCAACAACAGAACTTTAGGTCCGCTATAAAGCGGAACTAAACCCATCAATTTAACAAAAAGCAATTACATTCCTGGCACGTCCTGGTAATGTAACTGTCACATTTGCTTGTGTTCTCAACCAAACTGTCAGACCATCAAACAGCTGGTGTTATAACTGATCACATGTGCAGCACCATGACAGTTGAAGATCAGAGACTAAGAAGGCAGCTTCCTTGGCTGAAGGAGGGTTTAGTTCCACTTTAACACTAGCCTAAAGGACCTTTTTCAGTCAGGTGATTGTAATTTTCATATTTCATTGGACTCAACTGCAAATAACTGTCACTTTACCAGAATGTAACCCTAGGTATATTGGGTATGATCTTTCTAAGGACTAAACTACACTGACAATTTAACCTCCCTGGCGGTATTCCCGAGTGTAGCTCAGGGTAACATTTCAGTACCAAAAGCGGTAACCCCGAGCTACACACGGGCTTACCATGCGGCGCTGCTCTGGCATTTGTTCTTCCCTTACCTTACCCTGCGCTCCCGCGATGTGTCCCCTGCAGCGTCCCCGGCCATCTCCTCCGGCTTCTGTGTCCTGTCCCTGTGACGTCGGGACGTACGGGCGCCGCCGGCGGCGGGAAATGTAAAAATTTTAAAAAATGTCATTTTTTTTTTTTTACATTTTACATAGTAAAACATTGCTGTCTCAACCAATTTCACATACATTTTGTCCCTAGTGCTTTGTCCTGTGCCCTGCCTGCATTTTGTCTGTTCTTTCTGCCGGGAAACTGAGAAAACGTCCATGGCGTCCAAAAAGTGTCCCTTTAGGTCAAAAGCGGTTTAGATCAGCTAGAGAACAGCGATAGTAAATCAGAACCACTTGCAGAATTGATGATAATGATTTGTGGGGAAATTCGTCATCAGACACTGAAAACGATTCTGCGACTTTGACTCAGCGATGTGCGAACTTGGCGTTCTATTTCAAATTTCAGTGTTTTTGGTTTGATTATATTATTGAATTAAATGTATTAATATTATATTATTATTTTTTTATGATTATTTATTAAATTATAATTTATGATTTTGTGTTTAAAATTTTATCATCCCCGGGATGTTTACTAGACTCTAGACAGATTTCAGCGAGTTATTCCTAAATATTACAGCCTACAATAAAAAAACTACATATTTCCATGCAAAATAATGGTACCGCTTTCAGCACCAAAAATCGGAAAGAATCATACCGCTAGGGAGGTTAATCTCATTCTATTGGCTGTCACCTTACTGTCAAAACATTTGTGTATAAATCATTTCTCCAGTCCCCCCCCCTAAATAATTAAAAGTTAGCAGCTACAAACCAAGGACACTTACCGGTCCAGGGATTATTCAATTAGCTTTGGGTCCAGGAGCCAGGATCTTAACCGCTTCCCGACCGCCCTATAGCAGAAGTACTGCTACAGGATGGCAAGGCTGTGCAAAATCATGTATATATATATGTGATTTTGTATTTCTGGGTAGGGGGCGCACGTGTCGCCCTACACACGCCGCCTTTGGTAGCTAGAGCTGTCAATCACTGGGTCCCGGGTCGAAGATTCTCCGCTGGCACCCAGCGATTGCCGAAGAACAGTGACAGAGGAGAGGTCTGTATGTAAACATTACAGATATCTCCCCTGTCAGCACCAGCACGCTGCTTTGTATTGCTCTTCATAGCAGAGCAATACAAAGCAGCGTGCTAATACTGAAAAGCACACACAGACAAAATAGTAAAACAGCACACAGTTAACCCTTTGATCGCCCCAGATGTCAACCTCTTCCTGCCCAGTGTCATTCGTACAGTGTCAGTGCATTTTATTAGCAATAATTACTGTATTAGTGTCTCTGGGGATGTCAGTGGCAGTTAAATCAGTCCTCCCCCAATGTCAGAATGCTTGCCGCAGTCCCACTCTAAGTCGCTGATTGCCTCCATTACTAGTTTAAGAAAAAAATCCCAGTATATATACCGCCATTTGTAGATGCTATAACTTTCATGTAAACCAATTAATTTACACATACTGTATTGGGATTTTTTTTTTAGCAAAGACATGTAGCAGAATACATTTTGACCTAACTTTATGATGAAATTTTATTTTTTAAATTGTTTTACTGGATATGTTTTATAGTAAAAAGTCAAAAATATTGTCATTTTTTTCAAAATTGTCAGTCTTTTTTTGTTTATAGCGCAAAAAATAAAAAAACCGCACAGGCGATCAAATACCACCAAAGAAAGCTACATTTATGGGAAAAAAGGACATAAATTTCATTTGGGCGCAGTGCACAATTGTCAGTTAAGGTAACACAGCGCCGTATCACAAAAAATGGGCTGGTCAGAAAGGGGGATTGGGGGGGGGGGGGGTAAATCCTCTGGAGGGCAAGTGGTTAACTAAGGGAAGCTGGCAGTGAAGCCTTTCGGAATCACAGTTGGTTTCCCACCTTTTAGGGGAAGTTCTGTTTTAATATATTTAGTTGGGAGGATTTCCAACAAGAGTTTAATCTTTTAGCATGTATTATTATTATTATTATTATACAGGATTTATATTTCATTATATTTATTAAGGATTTTTAGAAACATTATACAGAAAGACAGGAGATGCAACCCACCAACATGACGAGTTGCAGAACATAAGCAATAAAACAGTAAATTCAAGTACAATCTGTAGCAACATAACAACATCGACCAATAAAGTGTAATGAGGAATACACTGGTAGCACAAGCAAAGTTTGATCAATTATGAGCAAATTGCTCCATAAACAAGGTAGTATGAATAATATCAATAAAGTAGTAGACAAAAATAGAGAGACCGAAAAATGAGGAAAGAACTGAAGAAGAAAATAAAGAATAAAACCCAGAAAAGAAATAAGAGAGAGGGCCAGCCAAGAGTCCATTAAATAGCAGAAAAGTGCTCTCAAATTTAGAAGTATTGTTGTTAAGTATACTAGTAAGTTTATCATTAATTATAATCCAATTACGTTTCGGTTTGACTAATTTCAGCGAGATTGCTGACTGTTTCCAATGTTTGGGTATCGTAATTCTGCCGCCAACAGGATATAAAGAATCAATGTAACCGATTTCTTAGGAATATCAGTGGGCAATAAATGAAATAGAGCTATTTCAGGGGATCGATGAATATTAACCCCCATTACCGAATAAAGGAAATTAAATAAACGGATCCAAAACCTAGTCACTACAGGGCATTTCCACCATATGTGAAGCATAGTACCCTCTTGTCCACAATGTCGAAAAACAGCTGGGTGACACAGAAGGGTACATTTTAGCAAGACGTGTAGGCGCCAGATACCACCGAAGAAGCTTTTTGTAGTTAGAGTCAATGAGTGTAGTGTTCAGGGGACTGACCATTTGGAAAACTCAGGCACTGCCTGAGGGCCGGGGTCAATAGGGGGCCCCATGAGATGCCGCTGGTACCTTTTTCACAGGCTTTTTTGAGTTTGGCCAAGGGCACAGGGGTCCCATGATCTCCTATTGCCCAGGGGCCCCATGAGTTGTCAGTCCGCCCCTGGTAGTGTTAAACGAGATTTTAGATACAGCATTAGCCGTATTCCGCCAAGTGTCCAGCTCCAGGGAAATATTTAAATCCCTTTGCCAATGTACCATATAAGAGAGCTTAATATCTGGATCAACAAGGGAAGCATATACAGTCAGGTCCATAAATATTGGGACATCGACACAATTCTAACATTTTTGGCTCTATACACCACCACAATGGATTTGAAATGAAACGAACAAGATGTGCTTTAACTGCAGACTGTCAGCTTTAATTTGAGGGTATTTACATCCAAATCAGGTGAACGGTGTAGGAATTACAACAGTTTGCATATGTGCCTCCCACTTGTTAAGGGACCAAAAGTAATGGGACAGAATAATAGTCATAAATCAAACTTTCATACTTGGTTGCAAATTCTTTGCAGTCAATTACAGCCTGAAGTCTGGAATGCATAGACATCACCAGACGCTGTGTTTCATCCCTGGTGATGCTCTGTCAGGCCTCTACTGCAACTGTCTTCAGTTCCTGCTTGTTCTTGGGGCATTTTCCCTTCAGTTTTGTCTTCAGCAAGTGAAATGCATGCTCAATCGGATTCAGGTCAGGTGATTGACTTGGCCATTGCATAACATTCCACTTCTTTCCCTTAAAAAACTCTTTGGTTGCTTTTGCAGTATGCTTTGGGTCATTGTCCATCTGCACTGTGAAGCGGCGTCCAATGAGTTCTGAAGCATTTGGCTGAATATGAGCAGATAATATTGCCCGAAACACTTCAGAATTCATCCAGCTGCTTTTGTCAGCAGTCACATCATCAATAAATACAAGAGAACCAGTTCTATTGGCAGCCATACATGCCCACGCCATGACACTACCACCACCATGCTTCACTGATGAGGTGGTATGCTTAGGATCATGAGCAGTTCCTTTCCTTCTCCATACTCTTCTCTTCCCATCACTCTGGTACAAGTTGATCTTGGTCTCATCTGTCCATAGGATGTTGTTCCAGAACTGTGAAGGCTTTTTTAGATGTCGTTTGGCAAACTCTAATCTGGCCTTCCTGTTTTTGAGGCTTACCAATGGTTTACATCTTGTGGTGAACCCTCTGTGTTCACTCTGGTGAAGTCTTCTCTTGATTGTTGACTTTGACACACATACACCTACCTCCTGGAGAGTGTTCTTGATCTGGCCAACAGTTGTGAAGGGTGTTTTCTTCACCAGGGAAAGAATTCTTCGGTCATCCACCACAGTTGTTTTCCGTGGTCTTCCGGGTCTTTTGGTGTTGCTGAGCTCACCGGTGCGTTCCTTCTTTTTAAGAATGTTCCAAACAGTTGTTTTGGCCATGCCTAATGTTTTTGCTATCTCTCTGATAGGTTTGTTTTGTTTTTTCAGCCTAATGATGGCTTGCTTTACTGATAGTAACAGCTCTTTGGATCTCATCTTGAGAGTTGACAGCAACAGATTCCAAATACAAATAGCACACTTTATCTGCTCATTGTAATTGGGATAATGAGGGAATAACACACTCCTGGCCATGGAACAGCTGAGAAGCCAATTGTCCCATTACTTTTGGTCCCTTAACAAGTGGGAGGCACATATGCAAACTGTTGTAATTCCTACACCGTTCACCTGATTTGGATGTAAATACCCTCAAATTAAAGCTGACAGTCTGCAGTTAAAGCACATCTTGTTCGTTTTATTTCAAAATCATTGTGGTGGTGTATAGAGCCAAAAATGTTAGAATTGTGTCAGTGTCCCAATATTTATGGACCTGACTGTATATTAGACAGATGACCTTTCACCGTCCCCGTAGCCCCACAGGAGACCTTGAGAGGGGTGAGCATACAGGGTTCCGTTAGTAATTTAAGTTTGCTAGTGATAAAAGACATGATTTGATGATAGCAAAACAGTTCGCTAGAAGGCAGGTGGCACTTTGTCTGAAAATATTGGAGAGAATATGGACGAAGTCCATCCAAACAGTCCCCGATACACAAAAAGCCCTTATTGATTCACCATTTTACAGTATTTATACAGCGCCAGTAGTTTGTGCTTTACAATATAAAGGGAGACAATACAGCAACAATACAGTTCAGTACAAGAGGGTTAGGAGGGCCCTGCTTACAATCTAAGAGTAGTCCATGTAGTATGTGTCTCTAGTGGAGCAACAGATTTTGATCTTCTTATGTAATAACTGGGCTATGTACGGGTTAAAAAGCAAATGATAATGAGCACATGCCAGTAAAAGGGGCT